ATAGCGCGAAGACCTCCAACAGAATGATAAAAATATGTTTTACGTTCGATAAGAATGATTTGATGAGTTTTATGAAGAGCTGATTCGAGTTTTGTCGCTACGGTTATTCCGCCATATCCACCACCAATAATTATGATATTTTGTTTTGCTGCCATTTAATAATGTTAACCCTTTCTAGAGAAATATATATGATAAAGAACTTAAGATTCTTAAACTTCAAAAAAAATAAAGCGCTCGACTTGCATATATATACATATCCATGCTTATCAATCATCCGAACTGTAATTATTAATGAATCGATCTGTGGAAACTCCCGCTGTCATTAATTTGTCAGCGGCGAGATTATCTATTTACATATAACCAACACTAATTTAGACACGATTATTGTAGTAAATTTGATGTTTTAGTTCGAAAAGTGACCGTAATTACAGAACAATGGTTAAGATCATTGGTTACTTGATTGTTCCGAATCCAATTGGCACAATTTCTGATAAGCCTCTAAATTGGTACGTACGTACGTTTTCTTTTTTTAGAACAAATAAGTAAATCCCAGTTTTACGGACTGATTGTCCACGGCTAAAGTTTGCCGGAGTTCTTTGAAGAATTAGATCGGTTAAATAAAATTATTATAAAATTAAACAATCCCTTTTGCTTTGGGGTGTCTCATATATAGTATTGCTCAACATCTCGCTAACTCTGAAAGTAGCAGTCAATGCTACGATCAATTACGAGTTTCGTGACAAATCAACATATTATTAATCAACTTAATATGATTATTAAGCGTTCTCTAAAAATAGAAGCATGATTTGATCGCTATGTATTGATCACTTTACAAAAAAAGCGCCAAATCTGATTTGCTAAAAATATGCCACTTAACAATGCCGATAATGTACTATTAAATGCAAAAATAAATATATTTTTAATATTTATTATAATTTAATTTTAGTATAAATACATTTGCCAATTATTGTGACCATAAAATGCTAATATGTATTAGCAATATATTTGCAATAAATTAGTACGTACGTACGTACAAATAAAGGTCTAAAATTACCGATATTTATCTATATAATATATTAGGTAGTTAATAGTGTTGATAATGAAATGATGTAATAATTATTAAAACTAATTTAGTGCCAATAATACGCTTTTTATTGCTTATATTTGGCTAATAATTGCAAATTTTAAATTTTCAAAATTTTGAAAGCAGTGTTTATCAATTAGTGTAACAAATATATGTATAAGATACGTAGTCAAGCCAATG